TAAACCTGACCTGACATATATACATATATATATATATATATATATATATATATATATATATATATATATATATATATATATATATATATATATATATATATATATATATATATATATATATATATATACATATATATATATATATATATATATATATATATATATATACATATATATATATATATATATACATATAAATTATCTCTACAAATAAAAATCTCAAAAAAATCTTTTTAACACAATTGTGAAGCTGTGGTTCTACTTTTTGCAATAATAATAATAAAAAAAAGATATACCAGTAGTACTTAAAGTAATCGGATGAACGATGGAAAAACATACACCTCAAATTATTTTGTCGGCATAAAACGTCAGATCTCTTTTTCTTAGCCGTGTTTTATCAATTATTGATATTGCGTTATCAGATGTTGAAGTGCCTAAATAAAGATCTTTTAAGTCGTTTTATCGATGACGTCATCGATAAAACGACTTAAAAGATTTCATTGTGTCATGACACAATAAGAAGATATATATGTGCAGAAGTTTGTATCCCGTATTACAATAAATTGCGTTTTATGCTTTTTATTGTTTTTTTAAGTGGTTTTTTAAGTGGTTTTTTTTTGTTTTTTTACTGAGGTAAGTCACTTTACTTTTTCTTCAAAAATAATTATCTTATTTTATTTTAATACAATAAGTTAATCTGTGTTAATTGTGTAAGCAACTTGAATCTAGATATAAAAAACTGTAGGGGTTAAGGATATGATGAAGCCAGTTCTGTCTCTGAGTATATAAATGGTCTTTCTGCTCAGGTTCTAATTATAAATTCAAAGTTTCTGTTTACACATTTTCATAGCTATCAACTCTACTTATTTGTTTGTGAATCATGTAATGTCCAATTAGTCTCAGAGGTTTTTTCTAGTTATTCAAAATTAATTATTTAGAAAATAGATAAAGTTTTTAGAAGCTAGTATTTTAGAGCTTGAACCTCGAACGCATAAGAAAAATTAAAGGATTTTTGTAGAACTAGATGGATTGAGCGTATAGATGATTTAAACATTTGTCTTGAACATTGTTCATCAATTTTCCATGCTTTATGTATCATGGCTTTCCCTGAGAGTTCTGTTAACAAAGACTCAAAAAATAAATCTTCTACTTTTTAAAATTCCATCAGCACCTTTCAATATATCTTTACTTTATTTTTCGCAACATGTGTCTATGATTTTACTTTACCTGTTACTCGGTTACTGCCATCAATAACTATTAATGTCTCAGACAGTTTGCACCTTATAATAGCTCTTAAAAATAAATTTGTTACAATCAGAAATGATATATATAAATATAGTAGAATAGCTGCTACGAAGCATCATGTTTGCATCCCTAATAATACCCCTAACTCTTAAATCAATATTATTTCCTGGATTTGAAAATATTAATATAGTTTAAGGATACTTAATGTGAGAGGAGTTTTTCTGTTATGCGTCTGTTAAAAGGCTATACAAGAATAACATGTCAGAAGATTGACTTTATGGTTTTACATTAATGTATATCCATTAAGAAACTGTTCCTTGTATTTATAATGTTATTAACAGATTTTCTATAAAATAATTTATGACCTCATTTCAATGGTTAGTATTTATGCTGCTTATTCTAACACACATCAACGACTTTATATTAAAAAACTTTTTTCCATTATCATAGCTCTTCCTATAACAGCTAAAAAATATGCATGGAAGAACAAGACATCAATGGTGTCCTTAACAGGACGGGTTATATGTAACCCCATACTTTTGTTTGGGATTAGCTATATGATTAGTGGTCATTGTTCAGGCAAACACTGACCTTTGCTTTCTGACAATTCTTTCTATCATTTTCTAATTTAGCGATAAAATAAAAAAAATGAAAATTTTTTTAAAAAAATTTTCTCTCAATCAACCTAATAATTTTCTTTAGTTTTTGCGCCATTTAAACCAGTTTTTTACTGTATTTCTTTTCATTTGATCAAAAATGATCTTCTTTCTTGTTGTTAAGGTTTAACTTGTTTTAACTTTTTTGTTAATCTTGTAATATAAAAGGTATATTTAACCTTTTTTTTTTTTTTTTATTTGTGTCTTTCTTATTTCTGTTATTAATTTTTCTTTTTTCGATTGTCCATGTCTGGAATGAAATATGTTCCTAGACATGCTGATGAGCCCTGATATTGGGCGAAACAATCATTTGTTGGTTTATATATCTATTATTGTAATATATTATACCAAAATGGTAGAAAAGAATCTACAGCCTTATACTTTTCTAATAAAAAACACTTTTTGTTAAAAAAAGTTTTCAAGTAAAACTAAGATATGAGCTTTTTTAGATATTGAGCACTCTGATTAAAAACGTAAATTTAGGAGGCTGTTTCAAAGTGGCATAAAATTCGGATAAAATTGTGTAGTGCAAATTCTATTTTTTGCGATTGCCTGTTTAAAAAATCATTAAACTTGTAAATCGGTGGTCTGGATAGTCGAAATCAAAAAAATTTCCCCCTTCCACCTTTATTTCATGGTCCGAATCTGCCCTTCCTCCATCCCCCTCCTTTTTTGTTTGCCTTGAAGACGTAGCTGCTTCACTTACAACATGGCGTAAGGCGCATTTTTTTTGACGGGGTAAATTTAAAACTTGTCTCTGCCCCTAAATATATATATATATATATATATATATATATATATATATATATATATATATATATATATATATATATATATATATATATATATATATATATATATACATAAATAAGTATATATATACACATACATAAGTATATATATACACACAAAAAATAAAAAGCCAGAAAATGTGATTTGTGATAATGGTTACTGACAATAAATTTTTTTTTTTTAATAAATCCAAGAATAGTTAGCTTTTTTTTTAGTTTTTTTATTTAATTAAATTTTCAATCTTATCTATTTTAAAAGAAATACTTATAATAAAATAATTTTGATCCATAAACTCTTTTATCTATTGTCGTTTAAACTTCGCAAATATTGCTTGGTGCAGTGCCAATAAGAGTAAACTGGAACCTCTTTATCGTCAGCAGAAGCATGTTGCTCGTCTTATCAATTTTAAAGACAGATTTACTCATGCCAGGCCTCTTTTATCTGAAATGAAAATTTTTAATATATATCAGCTCAATGTTTTTAATACTCTTTGCTTTATGTACAAATGTAAAACAAAGTCCTCCCCAGTTTCTTTCCATAATTTATACATCGTGAAAGAAAAAAATAAATATAATTTGAGAAATAATTAAATAATTAAACTAATTATGGAAAAACAAGCATTGCATTTCGCGGAGCTTCTCTTTGGAATAAAATAGTTTTAAAAAATTTTGATTTTTCACTGGAATGAAGTTACCTCTCATTTAAAAACAAACTTAAAGAAATTATTTTGTATATTTTTATATTTTTAAATGCTTAGTAATTTCATGTATTATTTCATGTATTTATGCTGTCAAGTATTTATAGAAATATACAACTATATTTGATTATGATTTATTGAGATTGTAAATTACGAGCGGTTCTCGATGACAAGACCTGACGGTCTTCTGCGAGCCTCCGTGTTCTTTTTATAAAATTAAATACCTGTATAGCTATATTATATTTTACTTAGTTCTTATTGTATGATTCTATTATTTAAATGTTAACGATTTTATTGTACAACGATTTACTAAAATTTTTAAGAAAAAAAAAAATCATAAAACGCACTCTTAAAAATAATAAAAGCCTTGGTCTCAACAATCTACCAAAATTTCTTCTAAAGCTGGTATCTCACAAAATCTCGAAATCTCCATATAATATTAATGAATAATTCTTTTAAAAATTGTATTTTTCTAGAAACTTTTAAGGTAGCCAAAGTAATTCTCATACTTAAAATGGGTTCTCTTCTAGACTACAGCTATTGATCCATTTTTTTTTCCAACCTAAATAAACTGTTTGTAAAAGCAATGTTCCACAGACTTGAGATTTTTTGGAGAAATATGAAAGTATTTACAAGCACCAATATGGTTTTTGCAACAAACACTCAACAACTCATTAATAAATATAAATAGCAGTAATTTTTTAGTATTTTTATAAATGATATTGATGTATTTTTATGAATGAATTATTGTTTATGTTAATGAAGATGGTGAAGAAAATTTTAAAAATATCAACTAAAAGAAATAAAGAAATAATCCCAATTTATATATAATCCCAATAGAGTGCTAAGAAGTGCCACAACAATAGAGTGCTAAGAAGTGTTACAATAATAGAGTGGTAAGAAGTGCCATAACAATAGAGTGCTAAGAAGTGCCAAAATAATAGAGTGCTAAGGAGTGTCACAACAATAGAGTGCTAAGAAGTGTTACAAAAATAGAGTGCTCAGGAGTGCCGCAACAATAGAGTGCTAAGAGGTGTTACAATAATAGAGTGCTAAGGAGTCTTACAACAATAGAGTGCTAAAGAGTGCCACAACAATAGAGCTTTTTTTTAAAATAATAACTTATAAATAAGCTTTTTTTAAAACAATAACATTTTTTTAAAGACCTTTTTCTTATTTTGGCACCATAGGCATAGTTGTTTTTTGTTAACCTCTTGACGAGTTGGATTTGCATAGATTATATCAAACTCCTCAAAAAATTGATATATTCTAACAAATAAAAATCAAATTGACTATTTTACCGAGTAAATAGGAATATTTTACTAATTACAAAATAAATGCCAATTTTATTTAGTTTTATTTATTTTTTTATATTGTATTCATATAGCTGAATCTTAAGTCATTAATTTTTTTTTATATCTCAAGTCAATAATTTAATTTCAAAGTTTAAAAATATTTTACTTTAAAAATAAATAAAAAGGTAAAAAAATAAAAGAGAAAATAGAAGATATTATTTAGGTTGTTCGACGGAGTATTCCAAACCCAATCAAGTGAGACGGCGTGCTTATTCTACCTTCCCTATAAGCCTTGCAGCATTGTTCATTTTATCAACCCTATTGCAGCATTTTTAAAGGCGAAAGTGAAAGTTATTTTTATGTATTTTTAAATTTAAATCAAACAGTAGGGTTTCTGTTTATACTGGGTTATTTTACAATTTTATTGTTATTTACAGTAGTTTCTTATTTGGAGTAAAATGTTTAGTGAGGAATGAAATAGATTTATTTTATCAAAGATTATTGGAAAAAGATTTGGTGGAAATTAAATTCAAGTAATAACAACAATGGGTTTTTTAACTTCTTCTACCAAACTTGATTGCGTAGAACCAGATATCGTCAAAGACGTTCCCGAGGGAGCAATCGGAACCCCAGAAACATCTACAAGTATTAATTCAGTTCATTCACAAAATCTTCCGTTTAAAAATACTTTATCAATAAAAAGTATACTCGGTTACATTGAACCTTTTTTTAACATATGTCGACCAAAAACCATCAAAAAAGACAACAATTGGGAAATACCTTTTGAAGATATAAAAGAACTAGAATGGATTGGCTCCGGAGCCCAAGGTGCTGTTTTTTTAGGTAAATGGAAAAGTGAAGAAGTTGCTATAAAAAAAGTTCGATCAGAAAAAGACACATGCATCAAAGACCTAATATATTTGGAGCATAAAAATGTTGTAAAGTTCAGGTAAGAAAACTTTTTTCGCTAAAAAATTAAAATCTAATTAATGGCTAATACCCCAACAAATAGTCCTGTAATTAAACAAGTAATCTTCGGTCTAAACAGGCGGCATGCAATCATCCTCAATGACGTTTTGTATAGTTTAACTCCGTTAAACGTCGTAATAAAATAAAACCGTAATGTTAAAACTTAGAAACCGTCTCGTTTGTTCGATTTAAGATAAAATAATCAAGGCATAAATTTGTGTAAAGTAATAACAAACCAAGGAAAACTGTGACGCATTTGTTTTGTACTTAACAAAAATAACCTTAACTTCCTTACTAGTAGTTCGTATAAGTTTGAATATATTTAATATATCACTTGTTATAACAAGTGTATTTAAAATTTAGCATAGAGTACAATGATAAAAAAGCACGAATATCGCCGCACATATTTGTAAGTGTAAGTGCATAAAAAAACACATATGCATGCAAAATACGCGAATATGCAAAAATACGCACAAATAATAAAAAATACAGCTTCGGGTCTCTTAAACGTTACCATACCATCTTTTCCACAGGGTACAAGAAGTTTTAAACAAGCATAGTGCGACATATATATTTAATATGTCTACGTGGTAACAATTAAGCTCTGACATAAAACAAACAACGAGACCTTAAGCATTAGCAAGCTATAAAAAATTATTGACTGTTTATTGATCACCAGCTGCACTAATCAACACATATTGCAGTTTATTGCAACATGTTGCAATATTATTGCGCTTTCAATTAAAGTTGCTATATATTGTGCAATTAATTGCCAAATAAAATAGCAATAAAATTAGTTTTATGCTAAATGTAGTTTAGATGCATTTAAATAATAATAATTACTATGGCTGTCAAATAACCCGTATCATTTTTTTGTTTTGGGGTCGTCCATAAAGGGTAATCGAAATTTGTATGTGTGCAACATATTATTATTATTTATTATATACTACATATATAATATTTTGCAAGTATTATATATCGGAAGAATGGGTTTTTAAAATTAGTATAATGTTTAGGTGCTAATTTATACAATTTACAATATACGATGCTAATTTATACAATTTTACACGAAACTAAAAAAAACAACATTAAACAGACTGAAAAGTACTAATTAACTCAAAGAAGCTCAGAAAATTATAGACATTATTATATTTATATCGTTTTGTAATTTGTAAAATTTAGCACCATCCCTTTACCCTCCTCCTTCCTTCCTAAAAAAAACTAAAGTTTTTTGTAAGGAAGGGGGTACAAAGTTTTTTTGTAATATTGGGGGAGGGGGTTAATAAAATATTACGGTTGCGTTACGAGGGGAAAGGGGGTCAAAAAATGTCAAAAACCGCGTGACGTAATTTATTCTTTCTGCTTCAAGTCATAATACGACATTTGGTTAAAAAGAAAAACTAAAACAATTTTTAAAAAATCAAAAAAATTGTTTTCTAAATAATAATAAAAGTTTATAGTTTCATTATAATGAAGCTATTAACTTTAGTTATTTAGAAAACAATTTATACAGCTATAGCTGTATATCATAATTCCATTAATTCTTGTAGTACTCAATTCATTTAATATGAAGTTTATAAAAAAGTTGTTGTTTGCCGTTTCGTTGCGCCAATTTTAATGTTTTTCTTCTGATAATATTAATGCGCTAATTTAATATTATTATTATTATTATTATTATTATTATTATTATTATTATTATTATTAGTCGAATTAGGTCATTTTCTAGGCTTTTCTATTTTAAAGTAGCTTCTTGGCTTTTCTATACGCGGTTTTTTTTTTTAATTTTATTTACTAACAACGCGTATTACGGGTTGCTTACTTCTAGTAAATATTATTGGCGAACCTTCAAATACTATATTTTTAAACTATTATACCTATACGTACCTATTTGCCTCAACGTATAAAGATTAAGCATTTTAGTACAGTCTTGATGTCGTTTTCTTATTGTTTACGAAATAAAAGGTTACAAGCATAGTCCCGAAAAATTTCATGCGGTTGAACTTCTATCTGTTTTATACTTCCATGGTTTAACTAATCTACATAATGCGTAATATAGGTTTTAATATTGTATGTATATATATTTTTTATTTAAGTTTGCCTTTATTTTGCTTTTTTATATTTTTCTGCAAAAAAATTTTTTCTCTCACTCTATGCTTCTGAACTTATGTGATTAAAATTTTTATTTTCTCTTACATTTTTTTCTCATTTATCTCACCCGTTGATTCTCTCTTTTTATTTTCATTTTTCTTAGCCTTACTCCTTTATATTTTTGTTCTGATTCCAACTTTTTTAATATTGTTGTTCCTATCATTTCTTTTTTTGTTACTTGTAATAATGTAGTTTACTTTCTTTATTATTTCCTTGTTTTAATATTTTTTAAATTTTATTTGTTTATTTTATTAAGGTGTCACTCCATTGACAAGTTTTTAACTACATGAGTGACACCGAACTTTGTAAATTATAATTAAATTTGTAATTTTTGATTTTATGGTTAAATAAATGGATTATAAGACAATAAATCCAGATATTTTTCATTAAATTCATCAAGTAATAAACAAAGTTTGCAATTATTTGATGCTACGAAAAAAAATTTATATTGATCATTGCCTCTTGAATCTTGAAAGAAGATGTTTGTCTACATAGTGCCTCATGGTGTATATTCCAATGAAAACTGAAAATACTGTGTTTAATGCTTTTTAAAAAAGGAGATAAAAACCTTTACTTTTGAAAACGAGACGAAAACCTTTACTTTTTAAAACAAGTCAACATCCTTTTTTTTAAAAAAACGAGGTTTAAAACTTTTTTTATTTATCAGTCATGCTATTTGCATCATCTGTAGCAATAGACAGAGACACGGAAGGAGGGTGTGAATAAATATCCCCCACTCTTGGGTATTTGAGTTAGGTATTTGACGCATTTCAGTGGGTGATTTATAATTTTAAAGACTTTTTTTTTTATATAGAAAGCAGTCGGTACTTGTTCAGAATTTTCCCTCCCTTATCTAATTTTATTCCTAGACAGTCTTTTTTTTCATTCCTAATTTATTAATTGGATAAATTTCATTTTTGTCACGAGTTTGAATATTGAGGAAATAATTTTATTTTGCACCCAACTAAGACAATGTTCTTTTTTTGGCGGCAGTCAAATTTTCAATTTACCGACTGCCGCCGAAAAGGTACAAATTCGTCAATTCTTTTTTAAATAAAGTTTTTGTAATGGGGTTAGACACCTAGAGCGCCCTTCCCTTCTCTCAAGGAACAGCTCTAAGTACAAACAAGTTTTGGCATTAAATTGCCTTAAGCTGGAGTAGAGGCTTTATATAAAAATAAGAGTTAACTCAAAAATAAAAAAATCTAAATTATTCGACTTTGAAAAATCCGTTAGTCGATTTAATTGACTATGGACTTTCTACTAATCGACTAAATTGATTTAGTCGAGTTAAATTCTTAAAATCCTTATATCTTTTCATTCAATTTTTATTCTTTAATTTTTGTTTATTCATTTAGAAATAATGGTATGTACTGCTATAACTATTATCTAGTATTTTGTTTACTCTCATAAAGTTTTATCTAATTCATAGCACTTAGCATTACTTATTCTTAATTAAACTTTTAATTATGTGTTTTCATTAAATTTTTTTTGTTGTTTACTCGATGCTTGTGATTTTAAAAAATACTATCATACAGGACCGCTCCAAGCTAGTTTGGGGCCCTGGCTCAAAATTAAGTTGCAAAGCTCCGAAATCTAAATGTCATTAATATATAGATAGCCTTTGTTCGACCCTATTTAAAATTCGCGGTAGCAGCCAGCAATCCATCGTCAGCAATAGATATTGATAAAATTGAGAAAGTAAAGAAAGAGCTACCCGTTTAATACCTTTGTACCGTCATATGTCATACAAAGATCGTTAGAGTATACTGAACTTACCTTCCTTAGAAACCCATCGCATTATGGGAGATCTGATACAGGCTCATAAAATCTTTAACAAGATAGGCATAGTCTCATGAAGTGAACCCAAATGTTCTTAGTGTTGGGGCGCCAAATAAAATAAAAACCAGAGGACATCATCTAAAAATTACTATAGAATTTGTTCAAAATTGTGAACTAAGGCATCCGCTTTTCACAAATCGAATAGTGAATATTTGGAATAGATTGACGTCAGAAGTTGTATGTACTTTATCTATTAACAATTTCAAGGCTCAACTCGATGCAGAAATTTCAAATAATCCGCATAAAGGTCTCTAAATCATTGGGGTCTGGGAATAGATTGACCTATTGTCGGAGCGGCCCTTCTTTCCTCTATTATTATTATTTAAATGATGTTAAAAAATAAAAAGCGAATATAAATTACTTTATTACTTTTATTACAATTTATTTCAAAAAAATTATTTCAATACTTCGGCTAAAACGCCTTTGTGTCGGCTTAATCGATTTTAGCCGACTTTGGAAAATATATTTGTCGATTTCGTCGACAGTCAAATTATTTAATTGTTGTAATAACACTATTAGCTATTTTATTTGAAAAATAAGTCAGAAAAATCAACATAAATCAAATGCTTTGAACAAGTTATATTTTGTAGAACTATAAAGAACTAAAGATAAGTAAATGTAATCTAAACTAGACTAAACTAGGTTTTATCGGAATTTATTCATTCAAATGAATTAAAATTAGTCAACATAACTAAAGTTACTCGTCCTGCAATCACATATCAATATCTCACATTACCAAACTCTTCTTACATTGATCATATATCTATATCAAAGTATCTACATCTCCTCTCTTATCTATATCAAAGTATCTACATCTCCTCTCCTCATACATCTCATCTCCTCTCTTTTATAAATGCCATTCCTCCTTTCTTTCAAAATGTGATCATGCTACCATTATCCATTTCAATTGGACTTGAAGGTCAGTATCATCAAGAAAATGTAATTATGACTTTATAAACATATATAATGATCACTTAAATTTGAGTTTCATTAATCTTAATTAATCTTAATTTTTCATTATCAAAATCTTCATTAATCTTAACCTTATCTGCAATTTCGAAAATGAAATTACCCGAATCTATACAACTATAACTAGCAGTGCAACATCGGCTCAACACCTAAAGTTAAAGAAACAATATATACATTCAAAATCCTGGTGGACTCCTGCATTAACTTGAAGTAAAAAAGTTCTTTCATTTCATTTTCAAAAATGAAGTGAAGTGGGACTTGCAAAAGACTTTACTTCTCCTATCTTTAATTGCTACTTTAATTGCTACTTTAATTGCTCGAAAGAATTTCCGCAAAGCCGTCAAAGCAACCCAAAACAATAGGCTATATCAACAAAACCTAAAAATTGAAAAACTCTAACTCAGAAAACTTCTGGATTACTTTTAGATGTATAAAAAAAGATTCAAATTGAAAGCTTTTTACTATAAATAATAAAAAAGATAAAGAATCCATCACCGCAGAGTTTTCTACTATTTTTGAAAAACGGTTAAACACTGAGATAATAACTGATGGATTTACTAATCTTCCACAAAAGTGTGCAAAATAACTTTACACTTTTGTCTAGGAGTGATAGCTACATACCGGTGTGGAGGAAAACCCCAGACTTTCCACGAGAGTGCACCTTGCAAAAATCCTGATGAGATATTAATTACTTATGAAAGTATTAAAACAGCTATTTCTTGTTTAAAATCAAATAAATGCAAGGGTCATTACAATATCTTTGCAGAACATTTAAAACATGCCCAATGTGACGCATTAACACAACGATTAAGAAAATCATTTCACTTTTCAATTAATCACGGATGGACCACTACATCAATGTCTCCAGTTAAATCCTATAAAAAATCACTTACCGATCCAAACAATTACCGAGGTATCAACATTATTCCAATACTTAGTAAACTTTTAGAATATCTTATCTTAGCCCGGAGATAAAAGAAACTCATCAATTTCAACTTGGTTTTAATAATAAGAGCTCAACTCTCCATGCTGAATTTGTTGTAAGCGAAACAATTAAGCATTACAACCGCAACAACTCCCTTTTTTATTTATGTTTACTAGATGCTGAATAGACTTTTGACAACTGCAACTGGAATATTCATTTTAATAAACTTTATTTTGATAAAAATCTACATCTCCAAATAGTTAAAACTATATCTTCTTTATACCGTAGCGGCAGTGCAACCGTCTCTTACCTAGGTTTCAAATCAGTCTCTTTTAATCTTAAGCAAGGAGTGAGATAAGGATCAATTCTGTCACCCTACCTATATAACATATACACTAAAAAGCTTTCGCGAAGCTCTGTGACCGTTAGGTCTTCTAGGAGCAACTAAATAACAAAAAAAAAAAAAAAAAAAAAAAAAAAAAAAAAAGATAATATAGGGAAATTTGGACGCCTCTCACGGTTGTTGTCCCAGGCGGCGTGGCGCCTCTGTTGTCCAGCTTGAAGTAATTATTCATTCTGAATTTGCTGGTGCCTTAATGAACATGCTGGTTGCCTACCCCTGATAACAAACATAGTTTACGTTCTAACGAAAACGTAAACAGTTGAAAAAGCCAGAATATTTCATTTATTTAATTCCTAGTTTAAAACTCAATTTTCTCATTTCACCATAAAATTTTATAATTTGATTAATTTGATTTGGTCAACTTAACATAGTTTATAAACAAAGTGACCTTATCAAATAGTTAAACAGTTCAGTTTAGCTATTAAACTTTTCCAGTAAAAAAAAAAAGAAATTAATAAAAAGTATCTAATTAAATTATAATGCTTTAGTAGTATAATTTATTTATCTACTATAATTTTGTTTGATGAAGTACGTTATTTGTCTCCAACGATCTGAAATGCCTGGTTACCCTATTACTACAACAGGGTATGACCACAACTTTCTGCTATTTTTATGGAAATTAAAAGAAGGTAGTTTGCTTAAAAAAAAAATCACATTAATTTTACTACATTAATTTTTTTAAAGTTACTATCTGTTTGTAGATTCACTTACCAAATATATTATTTATGAGTTTTTTATCTTACTATGCCTATAGCCAAATATGGATTGAGTTTAGGCAACAGTTTAACTGTTGTATAAACTCAATCCACTTTTTGCAGAAATATTATTATTCTTTTTGCATTAACTTAAAGTTTTAAACTAAAAAAATAAATGTTTTTTTTTTAACTTAAAAAAAATATCTAAAAAAATTTTTTCTTTTAACTTTGTATCTAAACTCAAATAAGTTAAAACATTTAAAACCATGTTTTTTTGATAATTAGTAACATTTATAAAAAATATAACATCAGTAACTTCCCTAAAAATTTCTATTCTATACTGATTCAAGATTTTAATTATCTTCTTAAAATGGTAATTTTTTTTTTAACTGATATTTGTCAGTTAAAATTGTATTACTTCTATAAAAAATATAAGCAAAGACCATCAGTAAGTTGTCATGTTCATAAAAATAGGCCCACTGCAAGCGACAAGTTTATTAAAAAAAAATATAAAAAAAATCTAGAAGCATGTGGCTATCAGCACTTTCTAGTCCAGCTTCAGTGGAACAGATAGAATCAGTAAAAGAAAATCAACTTTTTTATTCTCAAATCTCATAAACAATTTTTTCTGTAGTAAATTTTAATATGTGTAAACTGCTTTAATGTATGTTTCTTTGTAATTTATATTGTTTTAAGCTTGAAAATCATTCAATTATATAAAGGATTAGAGTCATAGTATGTCAACTAGAACTTTATAAAAAATAATTTGTATGTTTGTATATTTTTATATTTGTGTTCAATCAAAAATAATCTTTTTTTTTTTTTTTCAGAGGAGTATGCTCACAAGGGCCTGGATACTCCTTGGTTATGGAGTATTGCCCTTTTGGACAGTTATACGAGGCATTAAGAAGAGATAAGGAAGTAACTCCAACTCTGCTTGTTAATTGGTCTAGACAAATAGCAGATGGAATGGCATATTTGCATTCTCATAAAATAATTCACAGGGATCTAAAATCTCCAAAGTATGTCATAAAGAGTTAATTTATTTATAAAAAAATTTATTTTTATTTTTTGTGATTATATTAATAAAGAGTATGAAACAACTAAATAATTGGCAGGTAAAATAATTATTACTTCTTTTTAAAAACTTATAGCTATAACAAACTTGTTTTTTCTGTTAATTTATCTTTTAGTATTCTTATTTCATATAATGATACTTTAAAAATCTCTGACTTTGGAACCTGGAAACCAATGTCTGAAAAAAGCACAAATATGACTTTTACTGGAACAGTTGCTTGGATGGCTCCAGAAGTCATTAGAAATGATCCATGTTCAGAGAAAGTTGATATTTGGTAAAAATGTATTTCGTAATTGTTTTTTTTGTTTTGTTTTTTTGTATTTTTGGAAAAAATAACATTAAAAACTAAGTTTTTATTGGTAACGGGGAATAATACAAACCCATTTGTTGCTGCCTTAATTTGAAATCTTTTATTAGTGACAAGCTAGCTTAGAAGCATCTGATAGATGGTTATCTGGAATTTCTGTGGTTTACTGAATATATATTTAGGTTGAAAATTGAAGCAGCTATCAAGAGATCAAGTAAATAGGGTCATATAAGTACAAGGTACTCATATGACCCTCTAATATGAGTTCTCTACATCTTTAATATAAATATGAGTTCTCTACATACAACCCTAGGAATTAGGAAAAATGAGGTTGGCAATAATATGCCAACATTAATCTTTTCGAGCTCGGCATCAGGTTGGCAAAAACTATTTGATACAAAGGTCTAACCATAAAACATAGAAACAAGGTTGGCAGTTTTTTGCCGTCCTCTAACACCTTCAGGTCAGCAGTTAGGTTGGCATTGCGGAATGCCGACCCTAATTCTGAGGGTTGTACATGTTTAATATAAATATGAGTTCTCTACATGTTTAATATAAATATGAGTTCTCTACATGTTTAATATAAATATGAGTTCTCTACATGTTTGATATAAATATGAGTTCTCTACGTGTTTAATATAAATATGAGTTCTCTACATGTTTGATATAAATATGATTTTTCTACATGTTTAATATAAATATGAGTTCTCTACATGTTTAATATGAATATGAGTTCTCTACATGTTTAAGATTGAATTGCTATATTAACTTTTAGTGACAAGGAAAAATTAAAAATGGAATAAATATTCATTTACACAGTACAATATTTACACAGGACAATAAAACTGAATTTTCTTTTTTCAATTATTTGTTAGTTTCGTATTTTTTTAGGTAGAAAATATAAAACCAAAAATTAAATTAAACAAATATATAGTTAATGTTGAACTAAAGTAAAAATTAAGCAAAATTTTAACCATCAAGTTATGATTAAATTTTTTACCTAAAATTTATATTTAATGTTTTACTTATAAATTGAGGTGAAATTTTCTACATGATGGCGAATACATTTTTAAACATTTACAACTTAAAAGTGCTAAAATATTAGTCTTATTTTTCAAATAAAAATTGTATTTTTTAAGTCTTTTTTGTTTTGTTAACTTTGATTTCTATAAGTCTTTCATTATATAAAATATTATTTCTAAAAAAGATTTCAAAAAATTTTGTTTTATATTACTTTTTTATAATATTATTACTTTTTTTATCCATAATATTATTACTTTTTTTATCCATAAAAATATGAAATTTTTATCAGTTAAGTGATTATAGTAATGTTTCTATAGTTAAAAACTAGTCAATCGAACTTAACAACACTTAATAACACTTAAAAAACACATTAAGTAAAACAAAGAAAAAGTTAAAAGGAAAACTAATTGAAAAAATTAATAACAACAAATATAAAAATATAATATGAAAAAAAGTAAAGTATAATACATATATAAATAATAATAAACAAAAATAACTTATTGTATAATAAATATAATACAAATAATGAAAATTATTTAATTGTAATTAAAAATGGAGAATTGAGAAAGGAGAATGCTTGTTGTTGCTGTTTATTTGTTTAGTTTGAATAATTCTTTCAATTTATTTTTATGTTGTTTATTTTCAGGTCATATGGTGTGTTAGTTTGGGAGTTACTAACAGAAGAAATTCCCTATAAAGTAGGTTATCATATAAAGTAGGTTATTAATTATCTTTTTTTGATCCTATCTTCTTTTACATTATTAACCTATTATTTGGCATAAAATTTCTTGTGAAAGTTTTCTCCATAAAAAGTTATTTTTCAAATGAAATCTTATATGGTGTGGAAGTTAATTTATTATCTACTTTTCTTTTTTAATAATTTTCGAAAATTTATTTAACATGAAACTTTATTAAATTTATTTTATGCTCCACTTTTTTTAATTTCTTCATCTTTTTAATTTGGGGCCATAGTATTGTTTTAAAAAAACACCCTGTTGGTTTGAGTAAGTTTTTTTGCTTAAACAATGGAGGTTTGAATTAAATTTTTTACAGAGTTATGAAAATGATGCATACAAGATTAGTGATGTCAGTAAAATGATGTGCAATAGAATTAGTTATGTAGTGATGTATATCGTTATTTAAAAAAGTAAAGACCTAAGATTTTGAATAAAAATTAAAACCATTAGCAATACCCTGAATGCCATAGAAATCAATTTGTAAATAAATAAATGTATTAAATAAATGTAAGCATAAATGTAGCTTTTTAAAAAGGATTTTGTGATTGTTCACATTTTGGAGATCAATAATTGTGTCACAAACAAAAAATAATTGCTCCATGAATCATCTCAGTAATGTTTATGTCATATAAATGCTGAGAAATGTTAAAAAAGTAGGAAAAGATTAGTTTTTTAAGAACTTTGGTGATTATATTTGATAATAGCAGTTATACTCTGTAGCCGAATTTAGAGTTCTTTGTGATACCAATGCATATTGGTATCACAGATGCAATGCATATTGGTATCACAGATTTTAATATAATAATGAAAAAGATTAAATAGATTACTGTAGAAAATTAGCAAGAAATTTATGAGTAAAGGTTGAAATGCTGGACCAATAGTCATGTAGTCATCACAAGTAGCCATCATCAAAAGAAAGTATAACAGATCATATTGTTTTTATTAATTTTATTTTCTGATTTATTTGCCTTTAAAAATAAGAAATACAAAAAGGTGATACCAAAGTACTTAATGGTCCACAAATAAACAACAAATACAACGACCTTGTGGATGACATCACTGTAACAATATCAAATTTACTCTTATGTAACACCGAAAAAAAAAACAAGTTAAAATAGTGAGCAATGGTGATAAACATACTTTTTTAAATTTGATTTGAACAAAAACAAATTGGACAAGTAAACAATATAATCATGTAGAGAATTCCATATCATATCTTGATAATTCTCTCGCAGTAAACAAATCTTTGTGTATCATTTTTATATTTTTTACATGAATAAAGTTTTTGGGCATGACATCTTGTAGGATGGTAAGAAGTAGCAAATGTAAAAAATTCAGAAAAAGGTAGATCAACAAGGTTGTGTATAATTTTGTAGGTCATTACAAGATCAAATTTTGATCTACGGCATTCAAGAAATTCTAGATTGAAGATATCGAGTCTTGAAGAATAATCTTTATAATCTTTATACAACATCTTTTACAGACACTTCTAGTAAAGACTATTTTACAGACTAGTGAAGAATTTTTGAAACTTTTCTAACCGGCGTTATATCTTTAAAAAGAAGGGGATTCCTCGCAGAGGTACAAGATTTTATGATAGATTGAACATAAACTTTATAGGCTTTGATCAGAAGCTTGAAATTGTTACTGATGAAGGATTTTAAAAATAGGTAGGAACAAGAATGTGCCTTGCTTGCAATAAAAGAACAGTGATTAGAAAACTTCGAAAATATGACTATACCAATATCTTGAATTGATTCAATAGGTGTACCAATGTTCAATAGGTGTATCAATGTTCAATAGGTGTACCAATTGAGTATGAATTTAATGGTAAAGAACTGTTTCCATAGCGTGATGAAAACATTTTTTGGTTGTTGCCAAACTTTTTACCATTCTAAAAATTTTTTTAAGGTATTGATGAGGTGTATGTTGTTTCCATCATTGCTTGCTTGGTATAACTTGCTCTCATCAGCAAGTTATACCAAGCAAGCAATGATGGATTTTTTTTGCTGCAATCACCATCAATGCATGAAGTTACATCATTTATAAAAACTAAAAATATATAAATTATAATATTGTTATTTGATATTATTTAATTTGAATAATTATTAAAAAAATTTTTTTAAACAACTCACTGCGAACTTTAAAATTTTTTTATTACTAGCTCTTTTGATTTAATAAAAGAAATTAAAATATTTTTAAAACATTAATTAAAAACATTTTATGCTAGAGAATAAAGTTTGTCTAGTTTAATATTTATAGATCAAATAATGATAAACCTAAAGAATTCAAAGCTAAAAAATATAAATGAAGTTATGAACTGTCTTCTTCACTAAATTTAGTAATATCTTCAGTGGCAGAGTAGTGTTTTATACATGGCAAGTATTCTGTCTTTCACTCTTTCAAGACAAAGGAGACTAAAACATCTTTTTTAGAAAACTTAACACAGTTTTTTAATTCCAATTATTTGTCCCATTTCTTCCCTTTTTTAAGGAGGCTGTGTGATTCGGGCTCAGAATGGTAACTGCATGCAGCCCCTTTTTTGCTTCACTGATTTTAAATGTTCATATGTTCTTGACAAACTTTTTCACTTCTAATTTGAAATCAAATGCTGACCAGTCTTGCCCATAAACCATTTTTTTTCCATTTCGGATAAGTATGTTTATGCGTTCATTAGGATTCAGAACATTATCTTTTCTTTTTTTGTCAATCTGAACTCAACCAAACACACAATCTGCTGGTAGATAAGAGTGCCCACGTTCTGGAAATGTATGTGTAATATGCAGTTTCTTGAAACATTGCTTCCATAGAGCAAGAAGCATAGATGCCATATTTATGTTTTTGTTCTGTCTATAATATGAATCAGAAAACAACTGAAGTGATAAAACATCAGAACACTTATCCATTAGATCATTTTTTTAATAGATGTTGTACAGCTGAACAATGTTTTAATCTGTTCAATTTTCACACTCCAGCCACATGAAGAAAAATATTGTTAATAGACTGAGATTTTTTACCCCTGTGAGTAACAATACCTAGAACATATAAATAAAGCTGCCAACAATAGTAGACTTCTCCTATTGATAATTTGGGTAGTCATCGCATTTGAATGGATATTATTAAACAAACTATAAAATTTCCTTTCTTTCCTTCGGTCAAGAATGAAAAGTGCAGTTTTTCTTTTTTTTTGGTCATCATTAATATTTTAATTTTTCATAGACAACTTGAACAATTGATATGTAGAACATGTATCTGTTGCTGAGTATCCAAAGCTATGTTGTAATGATTTATAAATTGAGCAATAGTTGTACTATTTTGATCCAAAAAAAAGTTGGTTTTACATTCAAATCAGAGAGCAAATATTTACGTCCAGGAGCACCCTTTCTTCCATAATGACTTGCTTTGCATGTAAAAGTCTGAGCATGGTTTTTAATAGCTTCTTTCATTTCAGACAAAGCTGCTTTCTTCCTGTCTCCTCTATTTGCAGGTCTGGTTGTTCCATGCTCATATCAGTGTCTTGCGATTCTTATTACTCTTTCAGGATTTATGGCTAAATAATATAAGTAAAGCATTGACTTGGCAAACTCGTAGTTTGTATCTTTCAATGCATAAAAAGTACTCAATGCTTATAGTTCTTAACTTTTTTTGCTCGTTATTTTTCACTTTGGCTCTTTTAATACTTTTAATTTTTATGTTAAGCATTGATAGTATAGAAGCACTATTGGTTTTACAATAACAGTATTACAAGTATTATTATTATTGGTATTACAGAATTCTATTGGTATTACAATAGAATTCTGTATGACATTTAAACAGATTGTCGGGTGTAATTCTTGAGCCTGAAATAAATTTGTTATGAATTTAAAGATTATTATATAATCTTATAACAATAAGCTAAACAAAATCAAATAAACTCACCTTGCAAAAGCCTGTAACGTGATTACACAATATAGAAGGAATTTTTCCTCCACTTGAATGTCAAATTAACTTTTTCATTTTCTCTTGCTGAGCATTGATTTTTTCTTTTTTGCAACTTTAACACTAATACAACACTTTCATCCCAATAATCGTGGTCTGCCCTTTTCAAGTTTTACTCTGAGATGTTTATAGCGATTGCACAAAGTTATCTTTCTACACGCTATGATGGGTCCAAAAGAAATAGCATTTTGAAAATAAATTTAAAAAATCATACAGTGTTTTGAAATTAAATTATTTTTAAGCTAAAAATAAATATATACATATATATATATATATATATATATATATATATATATATATATATATATATATATATATATATATATATATATATATATATATATATATATATATATATATATATATATATATATATATATATATATATATATATATATATATATATATATATATGTATACACCATTTATAGTTTTTTTTTTTTTGGTCATATTTGCTACTATAATGCATGATGTTTGAAAAGAATTTTATATCACATTTAATTTTGACAGGGTGTTGATTACTCGGCATTAATATGGGGAGTTGGTAATAATAGTTTGAAATTGCCAATTCCTAGCAGTTGTCCAGAGGGGTTTAAACTATTATTAAATTTATGCTGGTAAGTTATTTTTTATTGAAGATATTTATTATGGTTTTTTAGCTTTGAAAAAACATTTGTTTGTTTATATATTTTTGTTTTACATTTTATGGTTGTTTTTTTTAAATGAATGATATTTTTTTAAATCTTATATGAAGCAATGGCTTTTGAAATAATGTTTTCTTATCTCTTGCTCTTTACAGCAGATGTTACTCTTGTTTCACTAAACAACCTTCAACAGTTATTTCAGCTACCTAAATTTTTGTACTTTATGTTAACCATGGTTACCATGGTTGCTTTAAAAATGTTTAATCAATTCTAATGGTACATAAAAAAGTTTAATTTTCTCTATTTCTTTGATTCTTAATAAATTACTCTACTAAGTATTTTTTCTTGAAAACTTTAAAAAATTTTTCTTTATACGTTTGTTGGCTTAATTATGGTTCTTTATTTACATCTTTTTTCATGTTCATATATATAAGAGTCCTTTAAGGATCTTTCGTTAGCTTTCCTTCAAGGAGTTAGCTATCCTTCAAATAGGTATGAAATTACAGCTAAAAAGTATACCAGAAAAGTAATTATAAAGAATATAGAAGTAGCTGTCCAAAAAAGTACAATCTAATTTATTCAATGAAAATACAGCCTAATTAATTGGTAAGTTTAAACTGATTCAGAATGTCAGTGTAAAATTCTTCAAAATATCTTCAACATTTTTGATGTTAAACTGTTTATCAGATTCAAGCAATTTTGGCTAAGCCAATATTTTTGGCTAAGCCAATATTATTTGAATCTGATAAACACTAAAACGTCCAGTTTTAGGGCTAAGCATTGCTTTGAAAATGTTTCTATGGAAACCAACACTTTATGAGTTTGGTGTCTACAAGCAACCCAAAGTAAACAGAACAAAGGCTCTCATTCATTAATTATTGTTAAACTCATCGTTTACAGTAATGTTAAGTAGAAGATCACAGAAACAAATTTTTCTCAGTTTATTGAGCTGATCCCTCTTGTTTTGTCAGAGTTTTTTTATTTTTGTATTTATTAAGTTGTCAATTGCAAACTTTTCTTTCCTCAGAAAAAGTCTTGTCAAAAAAATCTTGGCTTTGGATTAAATGTAACAAATTTTTTAAACTACAGGTATCATGGCATCTTTTTGTTGTATATTTTTCTCATGGTAAAAGAAATAAACTTACAATATTTTCATGCCTGTAAGCAGAACACAGCAGAACAGTTTTTAAAATATTATGGTTTACAGAAATAATTTAGTTATTTAAAAAAGATTTAGTTCTTGTAACTGCCCTATTAATGACAAATACAACTTAATTCATAAGTCTTAAGTTCTATTGATGACTAGGCAAACACTACTTAATATTGATACTGCATTTCAAATCGAAATTTTTACAGTTTAAAAAATAAAACCAAATTTACTTTAATTTTTTTCCTTTTTTTCCCAATCAATTTTAATTTATTCATCAAAATAAACATGCACACATATTAAAGACAATTTTTATAAATTGTATTTTTTGTTTTGTTATATTTAATAGGCATTTTTAAATTTTTTTGCACCCTAAATATATACATATATATCTTTTTATAAAATTAGGAATAACAAAGCGAAAAATCGACCTACATTTCGACAGATACTTATGCATATAGATATTGCTGCAACTGATGTCTTAACAATGCCAAAAAAAAAATATTTTAACAAGCAGGTAACAAAAGTTAT